CGTGCGTGTGTTACGCTCTCACGTACAGGTGTACTAGCAAACACGTTCCGCGACTATGCCAGCAGCATATCTGAGGACAGGAAGTGGATTCTGTTCGACGGACCGGTGGACGCGGTCTGGATAGAGAACATGAACACTGTGCTGGATGATAACAAGAAGGTGAGACATCGCCCCGCACGTACGCACGCACGCACGCACACACACACGCACACACGCACGCACGCATGCACACGCACACACACAAGAAGGTGAGACATCGCCGCGTGTATGATAGAGAACATGAACACTGTGCTGGATGATAACAAGAAGGTGAGACATCGCCGCGTGTATGATAGAGAACATGAACACTGTGCTGGATGATAACAAGAAGGTGAGACATTCGCGCGTGTAATATAGGAATGACACTGTGCTGATGATAAGCAATAAGGAAGCATACGCCGGTGTGTATAGAGAAATGAACGCTGTGTGATGATAACAAGAAGTAAGACATGCCTGCGTGTATTATGATGAACATGAACACTGTGGTGATGATAACAGAAGGGTGAGACATGCGCTGAGGCGCGTGTATATAGGAACATGAACACTTGTGCAGGGTGATAACAAGAAGGTGAAGGACATCAGCACGCTACAAGAGATCTATTGATAGAGAATCATGAACTGTCTGGACTGATAGCGACAAAAGGTAGCGACATCCGACGCGATGTCTGACTCGAGAACCTGAGACACTACGAGTGGCTGGATGATAAGTACATCACAAGTAACGTGAGTGCGCCGGTGTATGATAGAAAACTGACACTGGTGCTGGATGATAACAAGGTGAGACATTTCGCCGGTGTATGATAAGAACATAAGCTGTGCTGGATATAAAGAAGTAAGACATCGCCGCAGGCGTGTATGATAGGAGAATGAACTGTGCTGATGATAACAAAACGGTGAGACATCGCGCGTGTATGATAGAGAATGAAGCACTGTGCTGGATATACGAAGAAGTGAGCGGACATCGCAGTGTGTGTGATAGAGAACATGAACACTGTGCTGGATGATAAAAAGATGGTGAGACAATGCCGGCGTGTGTGATAGAGAACATGAACAATGTGCTGGATGATAAGCCAGTAAGGTGAGACACGCACGCACGCACGCACGCGCACGCACGCACAGGCACGCACGCGCTGCACGCGCTACGGCAGCACACATACGCATGCACAAGCACGCACGCACCACAACGCACACACACGCGCACGACACAAAAGGTGAGACATGCCGCGTGTTGTCCGTGCCGCACCGCTACGGCACGCAGCACGGCACGCACGGGCGCAAACGGCCACGCACCGCACGCACACACGCTGCACACACAAGAAGGTGAGACATCGCCGCGTGTGTGTCCGTGCCGCACGCACGCTCGTACGCACGTCACAGACGGCACGCACAACAACCCACACATGCAAAAAGGTGTAGACACTCAGCTCGGCGTGTGTGTCCGTGCCGACGCACGCTCGCACGCCACACGCAATGCACCGCACGCTACGCCACACACGCAACACGCACACACGCCACACCACGCACGCATGCACACACGCGACACCACAAGAAGGTGGGCATCGGGCGCGTGTGGTGTTTCGTGCGCCGCAGCACGCCGCGACGCATCGCACGCACAGCACGCACGCACATACGCACGCGCTCCTCTCTCTCTCTCTATCTCTCTCTCTCTCTCTTAGCTCTCTCACTCTCTATACATATATATATATATATATATATATATATATATATGTATATATGTTCTGCCTCCTCACACAGCTGTGTCTGATGAGTGGAGAGATCATACAGATGTCTAACAAGATGAATCTGATCTTTGAGCCGGCAGACCTGGAGCAAGCTTCTCCCGCCACCGTCAGCCGCTGTGGCATGATCTACATGGAGCCCGCAGAGGTAATGCGGCTAATTAACCATCATTGCTAATTAACAATCATGGCTAATTATTGATTGTTGATAATTAACGATCGTGTTGTGTAAACTACACCCCGTAATAGCATGAATCTATATAATCAATTTTATAGATATGTTCACGGTAATAGAATAACACTGGCCTCTTGTATCATTATATCAATATTTATATATATATATATATATATATCGTATATATCTGTATCATATTAAATGATATTTTTATGCCGGTAATTAAATTTATTTTATTATGAGCAGATAAAATCAGACAATCGGCAGTAAATCAGAGATCACGAAGCACATGACACGTGTGATTAATACACTAATTAGTGGAGTACAGCTTAGCAAGCATGTCTAGCAGATGTGAGGCTCCAACTGTGGCTGATGCAATCGTCTGGCCGACTAGTGAGCGAGGGCGTTCTTGTGTTTTTAGCTGGGCTGGCAACCGCTGCGGGACTCATACCTGGACACGCTGCCGGCGACACTGACGGACGAACACCGGACTCTGGTCAGGGATCTATTTGAGTGGCTCGTGCAGCCCTCGCTGGACTTCATACGACACGAGTGAGCGAGCGAGCGCGCGCATACACGCGTACACATCCTCAATATGTGATGAATGCATCTTGTTTAATGCATTTATTAATATATACGTATATATATATATATATATATATATCTTCATAATTATATATATATNACACACACACACACACACACACACACACACACACACACACACACACACACACACACACACACACACACACACACACACACACACACACACACACACACACACACACACACACACACACACACACACTCGTTTACATTTATTTACTCATTGACAGGTTTTGCTTGTATCCACAAGACATAGTTCTGCAGCTGGAGAAGGTGGTGAGGATCAGTAAGGTGATGATACTCTCTCACCAGCATCTAATCAGTAAGTATACTCAGTAAAGTAAGCAGTAATATACTAGTAAGTATACTAAGTAAGCACACATCGACAATTTTGCCAATAGAATTCCGCAGCAGAGAGAAACGGAAAGTAAAACATTTATGACGGGATGCCTCCGCCACGAATCTCACCCAGAGTCACGTTGACATCTATATCATACAAATATATATTATACATAGGCCTATATATTATAATATATATGTATCTATAGTATACATATATTATATATATATATTTGTATCTATATTATATATGACATATATATAACCTCCTCAACAGTTCGTGTCATTTTTCGGGTAAGTTAATGTATGGGGATCGGTCAAAGGCAATTCGTATTATGTCGGTTGCTGGAATGTTCCATATGCGTGCGTTACAGTGTGTGAACCCGACACGACCTCTCCCCTAGGGACACCCGGGAGGGGGGGTCGTGTCAGCACTTATTCGGGGAATTAGGTATGCATTTACTGCCGTGTTCCTCCGTACTGTGTGCGCCGTCACGAAATAATGCATAACCTCCGAGTAAAGATATATTATATATTATAATACAATATAGTATATATAGTATATATATATACGTAAGGGATTTATATTATTTAGTATATTTAAGAGAGAGAGAGAGAGAGAGGGGAAGAGACGAAGAAGATTATACTTAATATATATATATATATTATATATTATATATAGTATTAGATGTAAGTTAACTGGTTCTTGTATATTATTATGGAAGAGAGGAGTAGAGAGAGAGAGAGGGTGCTTTAGAGTTAAAGATGTATTCGTGTGCGTCTGTAGCAACCAAGGTTGAGCTTCACGTTGGTGATGTGCCGTCCAATCAGCCGACAACCCTCACTCACGCGCACTTCATCAGTCAGGGGTGAGTTTGCTGCTGCAGATACTACTTACACTGATTTATCGGCCACGTGTATGGTAAATAGACCCACCAGTGGCTTCCTTCATCACTCATATCAGATGTTGATAATAGGTATTAGATAGTAGATTAGGAATAGATAGTAGATTAGGAATAGATAGTAGATATTAGAAGTCGATAATTTCCTATCATCTACTTCTGCTAACATCATGTTGATGTCACCCGCATCCAACAAAGTACATCTGTATGAATAATTGATGCTTGTGCATCATATCACCCACCTATAATATCCTGTGTATGCCGACTAACTGTCGTGGATTGACCTAGTAGTGTTCGTTCATGCATATAATTATTGCCATGATCCATAGTGCTCTCTATATGCCAATGCTATTAACAACTTACACCTGTAAACAGGTTTTGTCTGTGAGTCATAGTCTGTGCTGCATAGCTTGCATTTCTTCTTTTAACCGTAACAAGTTATTAAAACGTATCGTACACACACACACACACACACACACACACACACACACACACACACACACACACATACACA